TGACCATTGGTAGTGATTTTATGCATCCTGTGGATAGGAACAGTGTGTCCCCTGAGCTCTGAGCAGAGGAGAGAATCCTGCTTCTCCTGACAGTTTGCTTCCCCAGCCAGTGTGATACCACTGAAAGAAGTAAGGGCTGTGATTTCCCCCCCCACTCCCTCCTACAATCCTCTAAGCGCTGGAACACAGCAGCTTTCCTGTAGTCTAGTGCTTTTGGGACAGGTGGATGTGCTGGGGATCAGGAGGAACCTGGCCCCCTGCATCTCATGCCTCTGCTGGAGCGCAGAGACCACCTGAGGAGCGTTGCCCTGGGATGCAGGAACAGGGAAGCAGGCAAAAGCATGGCGGGGGGAGGGGGGGCCTGGTACCACCAAGCAAGGGAGAAACCTGCATTGCAGAGGCAGAGCTCTGAGAACGCTTGGTATCGTGGATCACTACAGATGCTGCGCTGACATGATAGAAGCACCTCGCCGACTGCTAATGTGCAGTTGAGGAGGAAAGCCCTGTGGTAGCTGCTGGTGCCTGTGGCGCCACCCACTGCCTGTTCCAGCAGCCAGACTCCCGATCCTGCCAAAGGGGTATCCCTCTGCTGTGTGAGAAAGACAAGACTCTGGGCAACCTGGGACAACGTAATGTGCTCGTATGTGTCCCAGGAAAGCTGTGACTGGTGGGTTTTCTTTTTCGTGCTTTGCAAGCACTATATTTAGCTGGATTCTATAGTTGCTTCTTGATTTGGTAAATGCTTGTTCCAGACTTTCTGTGGGGCTTTTAGTGTGTTCTCATGGCTTTACCTGCTAAGTACATTGCAGGAGACATGAATGGTCAGGTCTGACAGCAAGCTGTCTTCATATATGCTATCTTTTTCTAGCCAGTATCTGACCTTGCGATAGGTGGCTTTTAAACTGAGTGAGCAAATGGAAACAGATCACGTTCACAGACCCATTCAACAATGTGTATTGCCATGGTACATATTGCCCTTATTGTCATGGTCTAGCTCTGCTTGCAGAGCAGGCCCCATTTAAAGACCCTAAGATGAGCTAATTCCACATTGGCTACCAAAGGAGATGGAAGGCTTCTCTCCTGTTCAGGAGAGCACCTGAGAGCTTTAACTCAGGAGGTCACAGCGTGGCTTGGCTCTTTGTCTCTAGCTTTGGTGCACGTTCCATGAGAAACCTCTGGTGAAGGGAGCCTGCCAGAAGACTCTTGCTGCCCTGAAACTGGATTACTTGGATCTCTACCTCATCCACTGGCCTTTTGGATTTAAGGTACAGTAACAGTATTGTGTCTTACAACTTCTGTCTCTAACCTCAGGCACTCTTGAAGAGCTTTACAGCTCACCTGTTGCTCCAGCCAGGGAAGATCATGCATCTCTTTGTGTGTACGAGCACCGTACCCGCACACAGAAGCGTAGTGTTTGGTTTCCTAGTATGTATTTTGGTGAGCCAAAATATCGTTGGGTCTGGTGGAAGTACCTGTCTGTATGGGGTTGATTGCTGGCCATAGCTCCACATGAAGGAGAAAGGAATGACTGAAGAATGTAGGCAAGAACCAGTACTACATTTTCTGCACTGAAGCTTGTTATCATAGTCCTCAGTTGTCATGGTATTAAGCTAGCTTCCAAACAGGTTGTTTGAAGCAGTTTTCTCTTGTGCCAACAGGCAGGGGAGGAGCTGTTTCCCACAGATGACAAAGGCATGTCTGTACCCAGCAACACAGATCTGCTACACACGTGGGAGGTAAGCTCAGCCACAGTGGGAGAATCCCGTTTTCTGCCCTCGGTTTCTTCCACGTTCTCATTACCTTCGGTGGTCACCCAATTGTTGCCTTGTGTGTGCGGAATTAGTTGGAAAGACTCAATGGCGCAGTAGCGGGCTATTATTGTTTTCCACCTGGACCTCTGTGTTAACTGCTGCAGTCTCAAGGAATGAGACTTTGGTCTTGGGTGGGCTGGGACAAATATGGCAGTGCTCCTTTTTTGCCCCCTCAAGGGATCAAGAGTTTTGCATGTCCAATCAGTTGTTTTGATCCTTCACACGAAGGAAGCAAGCCAGGTCAGGAAGAACGCCTTCTTCAGGCCCTGTCTGGTACACCTCATGATGACTTTGCTGCCCTTTCTGTTAGGCCATGGAAGAGCTGGTGGATGCTGGTCTGGTAAAAGCCATTGGAATCTCCAACTTCAACCACGAGCAGATTGAGAGAATCTTGAACAAGCCGGGACTGAAATACAAGCCTGCAAATAACCAGGTAGGCTACAAAGTGACAGCAAGTGAATGCTCTTTGAGGATTATGAAGATCTGATCACAGTAGAATGAGGATAAGGAAAAAGAGACTTGACACAGCATGTTTTCTGAACCCCACCCTACGGGACACAAGCCACAGGGATGATTTCTTTTTTGTTTTTGAACTTGCTGAACCATTGTTCATACATGGTGGAGCAGTTGCATGGTTTTTGAAAGAATAATGAATAGAGGTGAGCTCTGATCCTGTGGCTGTATTCACTTTTTTTTTAACCTCTCGCAAAATTAAAGTAGTATATAAGGACTTGGTGTAAAAATTGGTGCCCTATAAATTTACAGCTTTGTATGATCACACAGACCCCTGGCAAGTTAGGATAAGCACAGCCTGTAATTGGAGTAGGAGATAATCCCTGGAGTAACATGGCAATTGTTCAGCCACTCTTGTGTGTTCAGTCTCTGCTCTTGTGTTGGCAGATTGAATGCCATCCATACCTTACCCAGGAGAAGCTGATCAACTATTGCCAATCTAAAGGGATTGCTGTGACAGCATATTGTCCCCTTGGACGCCCTGACAGGTAACTTCCAAACTCCAAGTGAGTTAGTGCAGCTTAAACGTGAAGCATTCACTCAGATTGAATGAGCAATGGTGCATACGTGTACCTATATATATATATCTATATATAGCTATACATATATATATATAAAAATATGATTACTCTTGCTAGGTAGGCCCTTTCTGCAGAGGTCCCACACTTTGTTTTCTCTCTGTAGAAGTACACCAGAGGAGCCGACCCTTCTGGATGACCCCAAGATTAAAGAGATCGCAGCCAAGCACAACAAAACCCCAGCACAGGTATGTAGGTGCAGTAAAGTGGGTACTGGTTCCTGGAACGCTGCTGTAAGGAAATTGTGCCTGAGGAGAGGGTACAACCTATATCCATATTCCCTGTGAACCATGACCCTCTTCTGTAATTAGTAGCAATGCAGATTGTTTGCTTTGTGGCCTGCAACATGTGCTTAAAGGGGCTCTTTGACACTGAACAAATGTTTCCTATCTCAAGTCCTGATGCAGAAAATCAAACACTTGCATAGACTGTTTAATGTATGGATAAGAAGGAAAGGAATTGAGTGCCCCAGAACTGGACAGCAAAAGAGAGGAGGCCTTTCTGTGGGCTACCTGGGCCTCAGGTACAGGAATGATGTGAAATACAGCTCTGCAGAAATGGGTTAGTTCTGCTGAATCTTATACTTCACAGCAAACTGCTATTAGAACAGACTCTGCTCCTTACAGAACAAAAGGAGACAACCTCTCTCTGACTCATTGATATGCTCTTGCAGGTTGTCCTTCGGTTTCAGATCCAGAGAAATGTGATTGCCATTCCCAAGTCTGTCACACCACAGCGTATTGTGGAGAACTTCAAGGTGAGTGATTACAAGTGACCTGGGTGCTGCCCTTCAGGGATCGCACTCCTTCTCCCTGCATAGCAAGTAGCAATCCTTTCCCACCCTTCCCAAGTCCTCTCCAGACAAGAGGACTGGGCTTTTTTGTCTATATGTTTAGCTACATTCTAGTGAGGGCTAAACTAACAGCTACCATTGGAGGACAGCAGTGAAGAGCGTGCATATGATACTTCCTGCTTCTGTGGCTTGTGAATGAATCAGCAGGCAGACCCTGACTGACACTGGATGTCAGGATTTCAGAAGAGACCTAGTTGGATGAATGGGTTACAGGAAAGTCTTCCAGGTGTCCTTTTGGAGCAGGGCACATAGATGCTGCCTCAGCAGCTGGAGGCACGCTTCAACCCTAACTGTTCACCCAGCTTCTTGGAACAGCTAACACTGCCTGCAACTGATGGGTTCCCCCTCCCGCTGCCCCCACCAGTGAAGTCTTCTGAATGTGTAGAGACTTCATTTCCCTTTCCTGGAATTCTTTTCCCTTTCCCTCTTGCATGAGGCCATCGCTTCTTCTAACCAGCACCTGTCCAGTGTGGACTTGCTTTTGAGTCTTGTGAATCTCACAGTCTTTGGTTTGTTCCAAGAGATGACTTCCAGTTGTTTCTCCTCCTAGGTGTTTGACTTTGAATTGACCAAAGAGGAGATGGCAACAATTTTGAGCTTAAACAGAAACTGGAGAATCTGTGAAATGATCACGTAAGTGACAGCTTGTGTCCTTCAAACTCTTCCATTCTTAGTAGTCTTTACAGAGGATTTTTTGCCTAAACTCACAGGTACTACTTTGGCTGAGTTGGGCATATTTTTGAAATCATTTGAGTTTTGAAACTCAAATTACAGATGGTTCATCCCAAAAATAGCTTATTTGGGAGTTTTGTATTTTCACTTTACTGACAAAATGATGAGCATAAATCATACTTTATACTCACTTGTATTCTTCCTCCAGGAAACTTTTTGTAACTAGAATTCCAACAGGAAGATTCTAGTTGATCATTTTGGCTATGTCCCTATTAGCAGTGAGCACACAGCAGAGTTAAATCATGATCAGTTTTGTTTCATGTTGAATTTATAATAAAAACTGATGGCAGCTTTTCCCATAGGTGGTTGGGGGAGGGAATGACCATATGAAGAGCAAATGATTGCAGATACACACATTGGAGACCTATAGCCAGATATGAAGCCTCTGAAAGGCCACAGAAACTGTCTTTCAGGCAGTGAACTGAACATTTATTTAGAAAGTGATTCTGTTGTACCACCTTTGAATAGTGAGTGCCTGAATAACAGGAAAGTTCTTGAGAATTTGCTGGTAATGCGTACCATTTGCACTTGAAAAAAAGAAAACTCCAACAAATTAATTCTGTCGTTACATAATTCAGATCCTCCCCTGGTGGTTCTTCTAAGCATCCAGTACAGCTCTATATAGCATTTATTTCAGCTGTGAGAATAATCTCTCCTCTTTGATCTCCTTCAGGTGCAAAACTCACAAGGAATACCCTTTCAATGTGGAATACTGAGGACAGCTTTCTCCTGCCTTCCTCCAGACCTCTGGGGTCTAATGAGCTTCTACTGTGGCCTGGAGCTGTCCACTATGTAGCTTGCAAACTGTATCTGTCCTGCTGCTGCTAGCAAAGATGCAGTATACATACCTAAGTGACTTTTTGTCTGGGTTTTTCTTCTTTGGTGGTGGGAAATAAAAAAAAAAAATTGTTCTAGAGAACAAAATGTGGGTTGTTAGAATTCTCTGCTCGTTAGATGAGTACCTTTGTTCGGCTGGAATCCCTAAGAGGAAAACAGGGACACTCAGAACTACCAGTCAGTGTTTATCCTCTGTCTTGCATCACCACTGCTTAAGGCGGTGGGGTCAGCATATGTGAGCACAGGAGAAAGTGATTATGTAGTTACCTGTTCTTTCAGAATGGATCTATCTGATGATGAGACAACTGCATGCTTCCCTGTTTCTAGGGCACAACCCAAAACTTCTTCTGAAAGAACAATAAATGAGAAAAGTGCTAATACCTACAGTACAAACTCCTACAATATCAAGTTCTTACTTTGTTCAGTTTTGACCTGTAAAAGTTTTTGATTAGAGTAGTGTCTGCATTCTATCCAAACCAAAAAATAGTCAGATTACTGATAGCATGTAAGTTCTATTCCAGCAGGGTGGGAGGGAGTGACAAACCAAAGCACAGAACTTGTGTTAACAAGTTAATCAGAAGTGTCTGTATTAAAGAGACTTAATTTATCATGGGATCCTCAAGACCTTACCTTGATCATGAGCTGAATAAGTGAGCTAAGCTTTGGCTGACAGAACAATGCAGACACCTGAAAATGTGGTGAGCCTTGGTACAGGCTATGGATTATCAGGCAACAGGAGACCAATACTGAAAACCAATTGAAAGCTGTATTGTAATATTATTGTGGACTGATTTGGTTGGTGGCCTGGGCTGACATCTGGCAATGAAAACCTACAGTAACAGAGCTAGGGGAAACACTGTTAAGAAGACATCTGATACTGTGTGGAAGCAGAGGGTGCAAGGTGGAACTGTTGAGCATCAGTGCTGAGCTGCTGCCCAGAGCCTGACACAGATGGATTGGAGCAAGTGGTGTTCCCTCCAGGCTAGATTGTGTGGACTCACTGGTGTGATAAGTGGGGCAGGTCTCAATTAACTGTAACTCTGTGTGTGTAAGACTTTCCTTGACAAAGCTTATCCTTCATTTGGTCCACTTAATGAATTCAGCTTAGCAGTGCTGTCTCTGCTGTTTCTTTTCCCTCCATGATGCAAACTGGAAGAAGATGCAGGTGAGCCTCGTGGGACAGTGCTAGGGTAGCTTTAGGGGCCTGAGGTGTGAATACTTGAGAGAATGTCGTATTATAGTAACACTATAATAAGCTGTTTAGAAGAAAACTGTCTTAAACAACAGTTCTCTTAGAGGAGTCTCAGCCTCATCTATTGGGATGGTCGGATCCAAAGGTACCTGTGGTTTAATTGCTGGCCCCATACCATGTGCCACTGGGGGCTTGGCTGAGTACAAAGCAACCCAGTGGGGATTGTAACCCAGCTAACCTTAAGTGTAAAGGTTTGCTTGAGGATACTGAGGGAGCAGCATGTTGGTGCCCTTTAGTACATGGCATCTTGTTTGTGAGCTGGAGCAGAACAACACAGGAAAGGAAATTAAATGTATTCCCTGCAACTATATTAATTGAAAGGATAAGGAAAAGCAGAGGGGTCTGTTTGTTTCAAAGGAACTTTCTCTAGCTCTGTGGGTTTTCCTGGAAATCAGTTTGGCTGTCTCTGCCAGTGATTGAGGAATTAACATAATTGACAAGCCTAGTGATGATAAAGTTACCCTGAAAAATTCATTTGTTAATTCGTGGGGTAACAGCTTTGGCAGATGTTCATTCAATAACTGGGAATACCTTATTATACCTGTGACTACATCCCATCACTGTGCTGTTGATTATAATTGGCTTGTTGGTCACCTGGCAGCCTGTGCTGACCTGTAGCTATAAAAACGCTGAACAGGGACTGGGGGAAACAATATTATGCAGAAGTCCAAAGCCACATAGAAGCAGAGGAGGTAAGGTGTACTACGTGTTTGTGCTGAGCCACTGCCCAGTTCCTGATATTTCAATGGATCAGAGCAAGTGTTATTTGCCCCAGGCTAGGCTCACTGGAGTTAGTTAATGTAACTCTCTGTGTTTGTGTGTGTGTGTAGGCAAGTGTAAAACTTGCCCTGATACAGCTTATCCATCCACTGGTCCACAAAATGAATTCAGTTTAGCAGGATTGCGTTGTCTGGTACTTCCTTCACCCCATGACAAATGCCAAAGAACATGGGCTAGAAGTCTTCTGTCTGATCAAAAAGCTCTTTTGCTTTAAGACAAGCTGTGAACAAAATTTATATTGTAGCCTGTTAGAGATAGATATGACAGTGGACCCCAGACACACTGCATCTTGACGTTTTAACTACTTACTCTTAATAGCTCAGAGAAAAAAAAAACAACAACATGCAAATATTCTGCTCTGTACTAAGCTCACGGCTACCCTATATAGAATATTCTTAAGATATCAAAACTCAAATATATAATCTTTTCAGAAATGAACGTCATCCAAGTATTTCTACAAAAGCTTCAGAAGGAACATAACACGCAGCCCTAGGGTTAGGCAAAATATGTTTCAGGGGGATTGAAGTGCAGATATTCTTAATGTTTCTGCAGAGAACTGCTGAATATTACCTATCACAGAAAAGCAACACAAATAACAAAGGGCAGTGCTTGCCATTCTTCTGTGTGGGTGGTTGTGTGGGCTTTTTGGGGTTTGTTTTGTTTTGTTTTTGCCACAAGTCTGTATTTGAGACACAGTCTGCAATGGCTGTATTTGTCCTTTGCCCCCAGGTCCCATGCAGCAGCTAGGCTCTCTCTGGAGGCACACTCACCTCCTCTGACTTTAGGTGTCCACAATGCAGGTGCAGGCACCTACCTCACAGTCAGCCTCTAAACTCCAGTGGCAGCTGAGGGAGAGCTGGGCAAAGCAGGCAGGCAGTGGCACTCAGAGGTGATTCATTTGACCCAGGCCAGTGGCTGCTCTAGCCTCAGACCCAGCTCACTCTTCAGGCTTCCTGCATTTCATGGACTCTCTCTCCCGCAAACAGAGAGGCAAAGCAGAGATGTGTTGGCTGCGGCCACCCATACTTCGAGGACGTGACTCCTCCCTGGGGCAATTCCCACCAGCAAAACCACTCAGCAGGCCCCTCCCTCCAGGCCCCAGAGGGCAGCCAGCCTCCAGAGGAGACTCCCATTGCCCTTTCATCACAGGCCAGGAGTAGCACCCCAAGGCCCCACCCCACACCCACATTTCTCCCTGCCACAGGACCCCAAACCAAACAGCCTCCCTGGCAGCCCAGACAGCCCCCCGGGACCAGGTCCCCTCACAAGGCCAAATGCCCTGAGCACCCAGGCCAGGCCAGGGGCTTGGGCACTAGAGCTCCTCAGGCTGCAACAACCCTCCTCCTGCAGCCCCCATCAACCCAGCTGACCCCTCCCTGCCCCACAGCTGCAGATGGGGCTCTCAGGCCTCCCAACCTGGCCAGTGCCTGCCCCTGCCCTCATGGGAGGGGACTGCTCACCCCCACCAGCCAGCATAACCCAGCCAGAATCACACAGAAGCACAGAATGGTTGAGGTTGGAAGGGACCTCTGGAGATCATCTAGTCCGACCCCCCTGCTCAAGCAGGGTTCTCTAGAGCACATTGCCCAGGATCGTGTCCAGACGGGTTTTGAATGTCTCCAGGGGAAGGAGACTCCACTACGTCTCTGGGCAACCTGGTCCACGGCTCAGTCACCCTCACAGTGAAGAAGTTTTTCGTCATGTTCAGATAGAACTGCCTGTGTTTCGGTTTCTGCCCGTTGCCTCTTGTCCTGTCGCTGGGCACCACGGAGAAAAGTCTGGCCCCATCCTCTCAACATCCCCCCTTCAGATACTTGTACACATTGATGAGATCGCCTCTCAGTCTTCTCTTCTCCAGGCTAAGCTCTCTCAGCCTTTCTTCATAGCAGAGATGCTCCAGTCCCCTCATCATCTTTGTAGCCCTCCGCTCGACTCTCTCCAGTAGTGCCATGTCTCTCCTGTACTGGGGAGCCC